CATACCACTAACAAAAACTGTATATACGCATTGGAAACTGTTTATTTTTCGGCATGACTAAAGCTTTGAGAATTGTTTTTTGAAAAAAACCCTATAAACGTATTTATTTTAGCACAGTAAAATTTAAGTGCATATTCGAATATTATCAGATAAGCGCACCGATGACTTGTTGCATCCAGAAAGTATGTAATAGAGAGACTATTCACAATTTAGGCGCAAATAAGCACACATTTAAGCGCAAAAAAAACTCTAAAATAAGACTACTGCTGAATGTACGTTCACAGTATTTTTCGGGACTTTAAAGAATAAGAAAAAAACAAAATGTAATCATTTACAGTTTTCTTGGTGTAACAAATTCAGCGAGGTCACTCTTATATTCGACCCCTTGGCCTCAGTTTGTTACCGTAGCCCTAACCAACTGAGCAATTGAGATCTTTCTCGAAAAGATATATGTCGCGAAATTGACTATTCAATGCACAAACAAGAATTCCACGGAAGTGGATGCGTCGCCTGCGCAGGAAGCTGGGAGATTACGAAGAAATAGATACACTTTGTTTCATTTCAAGAAATAATGCTAAAAGTAAGCAATAATCATAGATTGTGTTTTTGGATGGCATCATTTTGTTATATAATCTGTTATTTAAGGAACTTGCTATGGATACTCATTGTCTCAATTCCAAGTTTAATTTGTATGATTTGTCGGATGGTTTCCCATAAATAAATGAAAAAACTTGTGGATTATGATGTTAAACAGCTAGTGTTGTCAATAACATTTGGAGTAAGACGGCATTTCAGAGATATATACGCTGGGTCAAGTGGTAGATCGAAGCCGTCCAGTATACAGTTTTAGTGAAGTTTCTATTTATAGTAACAGTGACCTTGACCTTTACCAATCGGACCTGAAAAGCAATCTCAAGCAAGCACTTTTGGTAAGGAAGCACTGCATGAAGTTTGAGTTTGATCGGCCCAAGGAAACTCAAGTTATCACACGAAAACATATTTTCTATTTATAGTAACAGTGACCTAGACCTTTGACCTTCGGACCTGAAAAGCAATACCAAGCAAGTACTTTTGGTAAGGAATCACTGCATGAAGTTTGAGTTCGATCGGCCCAAGGAAACTCAAGTTATCGCACGAAAACCTCTGTTCGGACGACGCCGCCGACGACGCCGCCGACTCCGACAAAGCCTTTCGTCTTATCTTTTCATTTATATAGCACATATTATTACCCAATAGCCTATATAAATTATAATTAGTCGTTTTTGACTGTTTCAGGCTTTTTGTCCAAGTTCGGCTGTAGGGGTGAAACAGTCAAAACTGTTTTCCCGGTCAGAGCGAACTGTTACCCGGCGCGAATTTGATGCGCAGAAATCCCCCCTCGAGTGCCCCGTTCAAGCGTTTCGGTGTTGAGGCAATGGCATCATTGCATGCAACATTGATACTAATATTTATTTGGTAATAAAACAATTGTTTCAATGCTATTTCGGGAACAGTCAAAACTATCATCCCGAGGTAGAGGGAAGCCCTGGGGAACAGTTCCACAGGGCTTCCCCCCTACCTCGGGATGATTGTTTTGACTGTTCCCCAAATAGCATTGAAACAATTGTATACTGTCAAATGCTAATTTTCATCCACAGTCATTTTTGCGATTGTGCTTTCCTCAATCAAAAAAAGAAAGATTTGGAACTCGTAAACGAAAAACACCCTCATAAATATGTCTAGTTATCTTATGCTTGAGTGTATACTTACAAGCGCCTCGCTAATTCGAGCGAGAATAAGAGAGATTCACCAGGAAAATATTAATTGACATGTACAATACAATTCTTCGTGTCCATTTGCACGTTTTTGATGGCGTCACATTCCTTACGTTAACAACTGTTACAAATAATATGATTTTGCTCGAACATATCTGATTTGTAAAACAAAAAAAAGACCCCTATGGTTGTAGCGATGTGGGCGTAAATTCTGAAGCGTTCACGCCGGATATCAGCGTTGATAGATGATACATATCTTTCCACTCAATGGGTATTATTGTCCCCAGAAGAATCGTGTATCTGAAGGAACGCGTTTCGGAACAGTCAACCGTGAATCTATCCGAGCAAAGCAATTATCATTGCCTTCATCGCCCAATTATTCACTCTTCTTCTCCGTTCCATAGAGAGTGTTTGCACGCTTTATGTTTACGCTACCGGGCGTGGCGTATAAACACCACTCTTTAATGTATAAATAGACATGTATGCGATGCACTTCCATTGCAGCTCAAACGTCCGTACATCATGAAAGCCAATTTGTGTAACACAGTTACGAACCTTATGTTTTAACTAAATTTTGTTCTTGCTTTCAGTATGGCAATGTAGAAACAGAAAGATACTTAATGGCTCACAGGCGGTACGAGGTATTTTATACGTATGCATGAAGTGCAATTGTAATTAATGTTTTTATCTAGATATATTGGTCATAGTATTCGTGCCTTTGTTGAGGACAATAAGCAACGAATGTTTCATGAGCCCGCATGGCTGATCATGTTGGTGGCGTTCAGAGGATTATAAGGATAGGTTTTTGTTTAATACGTTATAACGGGTTTCTTTCTTTCTTTAAATGTCATAGGCAAGCGTGCATTCATACACAACAAAAACATATTTAACAAGAGGAGTATAAGTAAAATAAAAGGTTATTACAAGAAATAAGGATTTGCGTGTTTTGTTCAACCATTGCAATTTAATTGCTTTACTTCTTTCCTGTTGGAAAGTAATTGGTTTTAAAACGTAATTTGTTTCAGTTTAAAAAAATATTTTTTTTGACCTTCGGGGAGTGACTGTTTATCCATAAATGCCAGCAGCCCTGATTTATAAGCATTTTAACCTTATCTACAGGAGTACAGCACAACATTGAGAATCTTTAAACCTCGCAAGTGATGAAATACACGATGAGAAGATAACATCAACCGTGTTTTATAAGTTAAAATGATTTACTGTTTTTATATGATATATGGCGACACTTGTTGTTTCTGTTACTGAAGGTGTTTGTCGATCTGTGGCGGAATTGCATTTTAACGTATGTTTGGTCCGAGAAGTCGCGAGTTTAAGGAGGATGAATTACATGGTAAGTGGTACTGTCTGGTCACAGCAAGTGGACTTGATGATGATTGTTTACAAAGCTAGCGGCAGCTACTTGTGTAGAACTGCCCCACAGCTGCACCAAATACCTATTTCATGAAGATCGCACACGTAGTATGTACAGACGGCTATCTGACCCCCTTCTACCCCTGCACGCGTCACCCCTCTTTGACCTTTTCAGCACGTGAAGTGTGTATTTTTTATGTCTCTGTTCACGTTTTGCCCATTGTTATTTGATATATGATTTTGCTTTCAAAACAAACAGAAGTAATCTGGAAAATTATCTCTAGGTAGGATAAGGCATGTTTATAGAGGCAGTGAGTAGGCTAGCTGGCCCCACCATAGATAACGGCATTTTTGTTTTAATGCCGAGATAAGTAAAATACGGTTACTTAGCATTATCTTGTATCTTCAGGGTGATTGTTTACGGCGTTGAGGGTTAGGTGGTACCAAAATAAATAAAACACGCTCCATTTGTTTTGTAAAACTTGTTTTTACAGAAACGGAAACGTTAAATCGAGCATAGATTTACAGAAAACCTGCCTAGTTCGACGGAATCGTTAAATCAAAAATAGATAAACAGACAACCTGCCTAGTTCGACGGAATCGTTAAATGGTAAAAAAATAACAGACATCCTGCCTAGTTCGACGGAATTGTTGAATCGAAAATAGATAAACATACAACTTGCCTAGTTCGACGGAATTGTTGAATCGAAATTAAACTAACATACAACCTGCCTAGTTCGACGGCAAGGCAACGTTAATCGAAAATAGATTAACATACAACCTGCCTACTTCGACGGCAACGTTAAATCGAGAATAGATTTACAGAAGTCATGCCTAGTTCGACGGAATCGTTGAATCGAAAATAGATAAACAGACAACCTGCCTAGTTTGACGGAATTGTTGAATCGAAAATAGATTAACATACAACCTGCCTAGTTCGACGGAATTGTTGAATCGACAATAAATTAACATACAACCTGCCTAGTTCGACGGAATCGTTGAATCGAAAATAGATAAACAGACAACCTGCCTAGTTTGACGGAATTGTTGAATCGAAAATAAATTAGCATACAACCTGCCTAGTTCGACAGAATTGTTGAATCGAAAATAGATTAACATACAACCTGCCTAGTTCGACGGAATTGTTGAATCGAAAATAGAGTAACAGACAACCTGCCTAGTTTGACGGAATTGTCGAATCGAAAATAAATTAACATACAACCTGCCTAGTTCGACGGAATTATTGAATCGAAAATAAATTAACATACAACCTGCCTAGTTCGACGGGATTGTTGAATCGAAAATAGAGTAACATACAACCTGCCTAGTTCGACGGAATCATTAAATCGTAAATAGATTTACGAACAACCTATCCAATTCAACACACTGTGGGACATAATATATTGGTCAGATTTGACAGAATGTCGAAATACACAGGTTCCAGTTTAGTAGTTTTCTTTGAAAATGATATAACACATCGTAATCTTTTGAATAAGACAGAATGTCGTAATATATTCAGTGGTCGGATATGAAAGGTTTCAATATTTCAAACGTCTATTGATTGAAGCAATGTCGTTTCAATAACTAAAATTCTTAGAGTTCGTAGAAAAAATATGAACTATAAAATAGCTAAAAAGATCAAACCAAATTTACTTTCTTCTGTATATTAATGCTATTACGTGTGTTGGAAACCTTTTAAACCCAAAATCATTGGCATACTATAATATAATACATATCTCAACGATGTTCCCCCTTAAATTTACCGTCAGGTCACCAAAAATGCAATGAAAACAGATACGGACATAGCACCAAACACACAAATTCGGGTTGACATGCTCTTTTGTTTTGTAAATGGGGCGACAATAAAAAAAGGCTTACCTTCCACACTCGGTGTAAAAAAAAGTACCTGTCAGTGTTAAATCCAACTATCAGTAACCGTTTCCATGAGCAGAGGCACGCGCTAACTAAACACGACGCCGCTACTTAGTTCCAGAGACACGACAAAGACCACAGATGAAAGAATCGTGCTCTGCCATATGATAAACCTGGTTTCTTGACTGGGATTTCAAAAGTGAATTGCAGTGTAGTGTCTGTTGTTGTGGGTTGTGTTTTAAGAAACCACGCACTGTCAGCTTGCTTACTGCATCGATTCACGCCGCCGCCCACTCTCAGTACTTTCAGAGGTAGGTAATGTCATGAATGAAGATACAGACGTACCACTACAAAATAGACAGTGTGCATTACTGCTCAAATGTACAGTGCTGTCTGGACCATGCAGTTTATTCAAAAGAGCTTTTTCAGATTATAGTGTTTCATGAGATAGTGTTATCTTTATATCTTTATACGGAAACACTGTACAATTTAAAGAGTCTTTGGTTGGTGGATTTAGAGAGGCACTATGCTGCTAACTATCATACAAGTAACTACAAACAAACTATTAGGAATCTGAGTAGGTTTAATTGTGCTTCCAATTCTAGATTGGTTGCAGAGGCAGAATTGTGCGTATACAGGCAGTTGGCTTTCACCAAAAGTCCATTTAGGAGACAATACCTCAAGACCATAATCTAATTTTCAACAGGGAATCCCAAGGGGCTACAATAATTATGTTCATCGATTTGTAGAGTGGAATAAACGGTCAAAATACGACAGCGTGTCACACGTCACCGCACTTAATAATAAAGTCCTGTAGTTGACCAGATCAGACCATACGTTTCCACACACTACAGCGTCAAAATACGACGGCACCAGAAACACAGGTGGCAACTTCATCTAGAAACTGACAGAGACAAAACAGGAGTTAATAGTCTATGCATATCAATTATCAGAAAGGTAGTGATTAATTGATTTAGTAGACGAGTGGTCTCTACATCCTGGCTTACTCGTGCTCGCTTTATGTAGCAATGGTCAGAGTCATTCTAAAATTGAAGGCGATAACGTAAATATCGACAGCCTCGTTGCAAAGCAGAAAACCCAATTATCATTTTTTTCTTCTTAATTTACTGAAACTCATTGTCCTTAATGTTCTTACCGATTTTGAATGCTATTAAATCTATTTGTTTTCTTTTTCAAACTGAGATTTAAAAAAAAAAACACGAAAAAACACTTCTTGTCATTCTTCGGCATGGTAAGTGTTGCTATTCTGGTTTCAGTTCTACAGCGAATCTTTTGTGGGTTTTATGGGGAAGGGCTGACGTTGATAGTTTTAATGGAGAAGACTATTTTTGTGCTTCGGAAGACGAGAGATTTGCATTGTTGTTCATAATGAAATGCGTTTGTCGTCATGGCAACGGCTTTGCATCAGTATTGTTAAAGGAGAAGACGTTTTGTTGTGGGTTTGAATGGCGAAAGGATTACATGGACATTGATGGTTCTAACTGTAAAACCTTATGTTTGTTGTTCTAATGACGATGGAATGAAATGAGTTGTTATAATATAGAAGTGGTACCTTCGTTGTTCTTACGGCGAAAGGTGTACTTCACAACATTTTCAACAGGAACTACCGTCACTGTACCCTAATCAAGAAAGTACCCAAAACGGGACACATATGGGAAAACGGCCCAAGAGCAATCAATGCAAAGAAGTACTTTTATGTATACAGTTTTCATTTGATAATACTTTTATGACAATATAACTGTATTTAAGCTTTATTGGCTGCTGAATATCGTTACATGGACAATTCAAAGGTAAGAATAATGACAACAACAAAATTTTCCCGATATACGTGCCGCACGTGCGACGCTATTTATTTGGATAGCATTTTCAAAGGCTTATTTTATCAAAAACAATGCTAGTTTGGAGAAGAAATTTAATCAATACCCTGTTTGACTCAAAAATATTAGAAATATGTCTTCTTTTCCGCTGTTTTTGATCATTTATCCCAAAATATTAGCCAAAATACCGAAGTCTACCTTTCAGGGTACAGTTTCGCCGGTTCAAATACCTAGGTAACCCTCATGGTATTTCGCGTTTTATGTTTAGAACCACGCGCCCGAAATATCAACTTGTAATAGAAATGAAAAGTGGATACTATCTTTTTATGAAAAATTAACAAACATTTGTAGAACTGATACTATGGTACTTGTATACAGAACATTGATATTTATCTAAAAAGTGTCCCGAATTCTGTACAATGCTGATTTCTATTTTCCTGTTATGAACTTCCTTCTCTTTATAATAGCACCCCTACATGAATAACTTCCATTGTTTAACTTTCACAGAAGTTTCGGCATTCAAAGAACTTGCTCCAGATATCAGATATTTGTAATAAATGTCGACTGCTGGTTGACAAACTTAAAACACATGGCTCCGAGAGATGCAAGTTGATAAAGACTTCAGACAATAATTATAGTGGTCATCATGTTCTCACTGGGAAATATGTTTTTTGTTAAGTGATATGAAGGTAGATGATTTTGTGGATATACTTTGAGGACATGACATCAATTGGTTTTTACCTACATTTTCATGGCGGGTACCGTCTCTGAAGCAGATCTCTAATACCAGGTACCGGAACACAAGGTCTAATTCTTGCGAATCCTCCTTGTTCATTTTCAAAGGTTTCCATATTTTGTGTTTCTTTTTTCATATTTTTACCCTAATGTTTCAATAATGAGTTCCTAGTTCGAATGATATTTTGTTCACGCTTTGGTATTCTCTTGTTTCTTTAGTTTCCAGATTTGTAAAGTTATTAAGGATACTCGATCAGGCGTTTTGCATTTCAGTTATATTTACACACACTAGTTATCATGTTCATTAATGACTCATTGGTTATATGCGAAACAATATATCATATTCTAATAAAGTAGCTACGATTAGGCCTCAAAGACACAAATGACCTATAATGAGGATAACCAATAACTCTTTATGTTACGATTGTCATTTCTCAAATCACATTGTACAAAACAAAAACAAAATGAAAATTGAACATTACAAAGAAACCATTGATCACTAAATCTCTTACATGTTTAAGATGTACGAGTGAAATATGTTAAACACCATTCCATACATAAATGAGCTAAATCCATTTATTTACCAGTATCTCTGAAAAGTAAGACACACGCATCTTAAAAAAGTAACATGCTGTTAACATAAAAACACCTCGTGGATTAAATATGATAGATATAGATGCATTTGATAAGATAATAACACCAAGTAAATCTTTAAAATCATCCATACCAAACTATTAAACTGCAATACATTTGGTCAGTAAGGGCGTCATAAATTCTAGCTGTATATTATGAAGGTGCACATGCATAAAAAATAACCTGTTGAGTCTATACAATATAATCTTTAGGTATAATTACAATAAGCAAATACCAAAGTGTCAACAAAACTATAATTCGGAACTCAAAACTGATAATACTGTGGAAAAAGTTAAGAAAAGAAACAGGTTTCGATGGAACATTAAAAAATCACAAGGGGAATAAGACCAGGTGTTACAGAAGGGTATGCGTCTTCTTCATTGACGACACCTGCCACGTTAATCTAAGTCGAATTCAAGTAATGTCACTTCCTCACATCGAGAACGCGGGTAGTGGCAACAAAACCACAAGGCACTCTAATGAGCATAATAAAAAACGTCGACCTCAATATCAGATAGAAATAACATCAATCCAATTAACAAAATAATATATATTTCGCATATTACAAGGAAGCAAAGCAAACAGAAATCAAAACAAGAAGAAAAGAAGGAAGAAAAATTACGAAAGAAAGACAGAAAAAAATGAAAAACGAAAAAGAAAGACATTTACAGACACACAAACAAAGGAGACAACATTATCAAGAAGATAAAAAAGCTATTTCCATTTTCTTATTTCCTGTGGAGAGTTTATTTAGCCTCCAATCAACAAATATGTATTACATGCGTCATAAATCGTTGAAGAATTAGTTTCGCCTCCACTATTTTCAAGGGATTCATTACATCCTTTCTTTCAGTCAGATTGCGTGTGTATTCTTCATGAATCAAATATGTCTCTGTCTATGTATATTGAATTTAGTAATTGTTGAAATGAACAACTGTTTGTAAAAGTTTCCATTACTTTCTGAAAAAAGCGTTTGCTATTTATTTAAAGCAACTCTAAGATGAAGCACAGTAAAATGCTGATCACTTTACATGTTTAACCGTCTATAGCAGAAGACACGAGATATATATCCGTTCTAGGCCATAATATTAGCACTGATGTTCGTCACAAACTAAACAAAGGCGCAAAATTAATGTTCAAACGTCTAGGTGAAGCATTTCACTTTAACATATGGCGTGTTCATACGACATGTACAGTTGTATCTTCGTGTCTTAAAACCATTGTGTTGTGGTCACTTAACATCGAGGAACTACTAATAAGACGATTGAAATGAGTTACTTACTTTAACATTAAACAGTGTGTCTACAAGTTAAAGATGCATTGTGTCTTACATGTTGCAAGTCAATAAATGTATTATTCAAATATGCATATGACATAAGGGTGAAGACCAATAAAACCTTGATGAAGGGCTAAGCCTGGAGGCCAGGATCGAAGGTGAGTGTTGGTAAATGATCATGTGTATTTGATATCATAATACTGATACAATAAATAATAATAATAATGTTATTGATAATTCGAGGTTCTTATATACCGCTTTATCACAACCTTGTTCGTTGGTCGTCGCAAAGCAGTTCACAAACTATTATCTGTAGTTTTAGGGCATTTGCAACTAGCCAATATCCTTTTCATCTCCCTGTGGATCATACAGGCGGTGCTGCCAATTCAGCGCCTACAGCTAGCATTCTACAATTCCGGCACTGCCCAACAACGTATTCATTTACAGCTATGTAGACTAGACTTGAACAAGCTGAGTGAAGTATCTTGCTCAAAGATGCAACACTGTGCCGTGACGTCACTCGAACCCGCCACCCTTCGGTCACGAGCCCGGTGACCTACCATTAGACTACTGAGCCTCCAACTGTTATAAGATGTTGTCTTTCAACGAAAAAGATATTGACTACCTGCTAGCATGCATGTTTGAGTAAGATGGTTTGTTTCATCAGCCTATATTTCTGCCGCCAACAAACAAAGTCATTTACATCTAGCAGATCACTATAAGATATGAAGACAAGAAATTTGAAACAA